GAATTAGAAATACTTGGTTAATTCAACACTGTTAGCCGTACTAGTTAGGGTTTCTTTATTATTTGTTCTTTAGTAACTTTCGTTTACCTATCATTAGTAGATTCCTGAAATTTATTGTCAATCGTTTCAGATCCCAGATTACAAAAATGCAGTGATTGTAGCAAAAAGTCCAGGAGTTATGAACAAGGCTACATCCTATGCCGATCGGTTAAGATTAGGTAATCATGGGGTTTTTGCATCTTTAGTGTGTTATTTCTGTTAAGATCTTCACAAGAAGTTTTATTATTTGTTGTGTTGAACCGTACTTTTGATTATAATACTAGTTTAAAATTATTCTTTTTATTTTCATTCTATGCTGCTTATTTATTCATAAACGTTCGCCTACAGGACCAACAGGTCAGTGTGAAAAATTTTTTCACTTTGTGCACTTACATTTGGTTGTAGGTTTTTCTGCAAAAACGTCTTTTCTCTTTTTCGTCTTTGATTGGGCTGCGTTATCGTCGCTCATTTATCATACTTGCTTCCAAACACTTGAATATTTTTACCAAATTAGCTCTTTTTTTCAAATTTTTTTTTCTTCGGTTGAAGTAGTCACTTTGAAAGAAGAAAACACCATTCTGCACTACATCCTCTACGTCTGTCCGTGTGGTCATCTTTTAACATTTTGCAAATGATTTATAATGTAAATCTGTTATTTAGAGTTAAAGTTTAATGCTGGATCATTTTGATAGATAATTTTAACGAAGATAGATTGATTTTTTGTTTTCCCCCAAAGTTCCTATTTAACACGAGCTGGAAAAAGCATTTTTTTTTTTTGTGCGTATTTGTGGAGGCACTGTGCAGGTTTTCATCAGAAGAATTTATATAAAATGCTGTCATAAATTACTGTAACAGGAATCGCTGTAATCCATGGTGAACAAAAGGATAACGAGGAAAGTGGTCTAGAGGACGGCCGTCAAAGCCCTCCTATTGAAACGGCTCAACACGATTTAGCTTCGTTTGAGCTTTATCCCAGTAAGGTTGATTAACTTTATGATTTTGTTTTTTCGTTAAGTTCTATTTTTTATTCTGTTCTCATCATTTGACGTTAATTTCGTTTAAGCTCAAGTTCCGAAGGAAAAACCACCTTTGACTGTAGTTGGTGATGTTGGTGGGAGAATAGCCATCATGGTTGTAAGTGATTTAGTCGCAGCCATTGTACATGGCCTTCTACTGTTTCTTGTTCTTCAATGCGCAGATATGAGGTAGTATTGATTTCGATTAAGGATGATATTATTGACGATGCACAATCGTTTGTGGCGGCCGCCCAAGTGCTAAAAAATCGTGGAGCTTATAAGATCTACGTCATAGCTACACACGGCTTGCTCTCAGCAGATGCCCCTGGATTGCTCGAATCATCCCCTATTCATGAGGTAAGCTATAAGACATTAGTCTTCCATTTGTAAATATCTATGTTTCTAGAGTTTAATTTTATTTCTTAATTTTTGTTACGTATTGTTTGTTTTTTAGGTTTTCTTTAGCGTTTTCCTTTTACGTAGTTAGTTTCTGATGAACTGGAAATTATCAAGAAACCGTCATCAAGTTGTAGGTTATTGTTACAAATACCGTTCCTCATGGAGCACAGAAAATGCGTTGTCACAAAATTAAGACTGTTGATATATCGTTGATGTTGAGTGAAGCTATACGTCGGATATATCATAATGAATCTATGGGTCAACTTTTCCGAGATGTAACAATTGATGATTAATATTTGGCTTGATTACCTTATATGGTGTTTATTATGTGCATATTTGTTGATGTACAAAGTATACTCTTTTTGGTCCTAGATTATTTCCTGTAGAAGTTTGTTTCAAATTTAGTGTCGTAGTGTTTTTTATTCTGAAATTTTCCTTGTTTGTGCAGCAAGCGGATTTAAGTTCAGGCATTTGCGTCTTTTTTCACTACCGAGCTGTACGAATTTCAGGTTTGTGTATTATGACAATATTTGAGGCGCTGTACAACTTGTAAACTGTTGAGGTCATAATCCTTACCGCTATTTGGTCTAGTTATTGTGCAATGTGCCTTTACTTATTTGATTCCGAAGTTGGCTACTGTTATTTATGGTTCAGAAGCATATAAATTTTAAACTGGTACTTTCCTGTACATTTGATTTTGAGTGGTACATTGAGTGTTACATATCTTGTGCAGATTTGAATGCATTAGTTTTCTGCCAGTTTTCACGCAAAATATGATAGAGGTTTACAACTTTATTTCTTTTTGACTCTCTTTAGAGCTATTGTAAAATATTTTTTAAAACGATCTTTAGGTCAGAGGAGGATTTTTTTTGACAGGATACATAGGGTTGAGTTTTTTAGGAAAGTGCTGTTTCGTATTCGTAATTCAGGTTGATGAGTTCTGGAGGGTTTTTGACAAATTGTAATTGCGTTTGAATTTGTTCTGGTTCTAAAATATCTAAAACTTGCTTTGATGAGCTCATTGTGCATCACTTAGTTCTAGAGAGCATGAGCTAACCCTGTTGAGGGGGAGGTGGAAGACATTGCAATAAACTGCTCTTATATTTTATAAAATCAGAAGCTGTTGGAGTTTGGAGGGAGTGACTTAGAAAGTAAACATAGATTTCTTTTTTCCCCAGTATCGATATAGAGGCGCTGCAGTGTGCTGGGGATCGGCAAGCTATAGTACTGTTAGCAGCAGAGTAATTCATTGTTGTCTAAACACTACTGGCTAGAATCAGGAGATGCATTTGACATTTAAACACTAAAACAGCTGACAAAACAGACTGTCTTGAGGTTTCTTTGCGGATTTGTTCTTTTTTTTTGAGAAATTGCTGGCAAAAAAGTTTGTTCTTTGCTTTCATTTGTCAAGAAGTTCAGTTAAACTCTCGTCATATTTGATAGTGTGTCATTTTTTAGGACTGGAGCATCAATTTGTGTAGTCTGGTTTTAGTAGTGTTGCTTTCCCTTTTCGCCATTCGTTTTGGTTCCATACGATAAAAAAAAATGATGAAAAAATACGGCCTCTTACGAAATCTGTAACCTTTTAGTAATGGTGCTTAATTTGAAATAAGATACTGATATTTTGAGCTTTGTTCAGACACTTTCCAGCAGATAAAAGAGGTCGAAATCGGAAAATAGTAAGATTAGAGAAACAGTAATTGTCCTAACCTACGCACTATTGGAACCGCCCGCTAAGTTTCGGAAGCTCGCAGAAGGTACTGGGGATGGGACATCAAACTGAAGCAGGGTTGGTTTTATTATCTGTGGCTAGCATGGGAAGGGGACATCAACTTTTGTAAGGCCGGTGTTTGTGCATTAATCGGGATTTTTTGGTTGGTCTTCTAGTTCGTTCTCGTTTCTGATTATGCCCGAATATTTTAAATTTTCCATTTGATTGATCAATGGGATAATATTTAATTTTAATAATATACGTTTTTTCATTTTTTGTTTTATTTTATTTATTTATTTTTTTGTTCGGTGTGGGCAACACTGCAGTGTTAAGAGTTTAGATGATCGGAATGAAAAATTTTTTATTGACAGGGCGAAACTTGTGAGAACTTTTGCGCTGAAAACACTTAACAAAAAGTCTGTATAATTGTTAGCTTCGGTTTACAAGCTGTAACCACTGGCCAAGAAAACGAAAGTCAACAACCATGCTATTTGTTACGCTGAGTTTTTCCATTTCTCGTATTCAGCGTATTGTTTTAAATGAGTAATTCAACATCAGCAAAGTGTTCGTCGGTTTAAGTCAAATTGCTTGTTGTTTTTATTGCTTAGTATTTGCTTCAGTTTGTTAGTTTGGACTTTGACAAGAGTAAGCAGTTTTTGGAAGACCGATATGTATAGCAACTATTGACTGAAACTAAAAAGAAACACGACCATAATTTATGTACAAGGTTACCTTTAAGTTCAATCGTTGGCAATTGTCTGCTACTTTTTTTTGTAAGAGTTGCAATTTTTGGTAGTTGTTTGGCAGATCGAGAACTTTACGTCATTTTGGAGTTATTTGTACGTAACTGGGAATGAAGTTTTTGCAATTAATTTTGGGGATTTTTGTTTTTTGGCTCTAATTTTATGCTAGTGGGACTTCCATGTTATTTAACTTTCAAGTGTATTAAAAGAACTGAAAATTTTTGAATGGTTACTTGCGATAATTTACTTAAAATTGTGGGACAGATGTTTGTGATTAATGAACTTAGTATATGAACTGCCTTTTATGTTTTTTTGAAATGAAGGTATGGTTACATTGATAAATCATTTTTTGTATTTTTTGCAGTTACATTCAAAAGTTACATTGAAATGCATGTGCTTATGGCAGTTGTATCAATTTTGACGGCTGTTAGTTTCTGTGGTTCTTAATTATCTGTTTACATTTTGAATTTTCAACGCTATTAGTTGTATTAGATTATCAGTTATTTTTTTGTTCAGAGACTCTTATAGCTGTTTTTTCAGAAGACATTTTTGGGCTACCTACATTTTTAAGGCCTCCATCATTTTACAGGTTTGCCGTAGTAATGGAATACTGTTAAAAAAATTCTTTGAGTGTTTTAAAGAAACAAAGTAAATTTCTATGATGTATTATTTACATGGGTATTTAACGCGGTACAGATTAATTTTATCTGTAGTCGGTAGTCTGTTCGGGTGGTGCTTAATAATGACCATGAAATTCTTTTTAGAACTGTTAACATAAGCCAAAGATGCACTCGTTATCGGCGCTCAGAAAGTCAGGAGTATTATCCTGAATGAAGTATAATGTATGTGGATGAATATGTGTTCAATTATTTCTTTAGGATTTGCTGTCTTTTTCACCATTTGGTTTGTCAGTTTGGTTTTTCCAGGTAAGTGCAAAATAAAATTTTTTAATGTCTTGATAGCTTTATTCAAATTCTATCTGTATTTGGGATTGCTGGAGACACTTGATTTGTTGACATTTTTGATATGATTTGTACAAATTTTTTGCCGTCGCTTTGCCAATGGATAGTGTTAATGCATCATAATAAGCTGAGCAACAAAATGCAGAATTGAACCGGAAGGACTGCACATGTTATTCGTTGTCTGTCAGTTTTGATCAAAGATTTAATGTTTTGAGTACAAACTGCAAAATTAGACATCAATTTTTTCCTTCTTTTTTATTAAATTTTTTGATGTCATGTGGAACTTTAAACCTATAGTGATGACTACGTAGACGGAAGTGTAGAAAAGACTAATTGATGTTTTTGCCTCGCAGTTATTATCCATATTAGAAATGACTGGTTTATAGCTGCTACGTCTAACAGCGCTTCAGTAGACTGGAAAAGTGTCTTTCGTGCCAAGTTGTAGTAACCGTAATCTGCCTGGATGAATACATTAGTTAATGAGCACAGAGACAAAACATGCTGTGCAAAGTAATGTTATCGAGTACAGGCTCAACAATTTGAAAAAATTTTGTTTTGTCTTTCAGTGAGTTCAATTGCTGTTTTGATTCTTAATTGCACCTGACACTGTATTCGTAAAGGCAGAGCATTTTCCTAACCAAAGACGGCAAAAAATTTTTTTCTTTTGGTAGTTTTATTCGTCTCAACATCTTGCAGTACGTGACAGATTATATTTTAGAATTAATCATAATTTGGTTATACCTTTGATACAGCTAAAGTGTCCCTCGATTACGAGTGCTAGTCCTCTATTTAAGTAACTTGGTTTTCTTTGCCACTCTGTTGTTAGCATATCAACGGTTATGAGCAAAATTTTTACTGAGATGCTCAATGATTTTTTTGGCTTAAGCTTGTTACACTTTTTTACTTCAGATATTTTACTGTATTTACAAGTAAACAAGAAATCTTCAAAAAAAATTTTGTTAGTTGTAACACTTTAATTTACATTAAGAAAAGGTAATCTATATACATCAAGCATCAATGAGGATTTTAGAAATATCATAAGAGTGGACTTTTCAGCAGTAGATATACGCGTTTGGGCATCGGAATGAAATGAGAGGATAGAACCACGATTTAACCATTAGATCAAACAGTTTTTTGAGACAAAAATTACTAGTGAACCCAATAACTAATTATAGCCAAGTAAGAATTACATCAAACTTTATCCTCAAAGTGTCTGCTAAGTTTTGCTGGAAAAATTTTATAGGAAAGCGCAAACATCCACCATGGTTTGAATTCAATAGCTACAACAAAATCAATTACTGGTTTAGTTTAAAATCATATTGGCTAACAATGGTCAAGTGAAAATTGCACTACAACTTTTTTGTAATGAACGCATTGGGCAAATAGAGAATTCTAAAAAATTTTAAACTACACATTACGGTCCAATGTAAACAGAGCTATACTTTAATTCACTAATTTGGGATCGAAAATACTGTCCGCTTAACCATTCCCCGTTTGGTTTCTTGCCATGCTTACCTCGCGGATAGTGTCTTTAGTGGTGTACTGTAGGCTAGACAGTATCGCATGTATGCCCGTCGTTCATCCAAATACCGATAACAATTGAATATCACAATTAGGAACCAACACTAAGAATAGAACAATCGTTGCTGAATATAAGTAATTGAAAAAGTGTTGTTTTTGAACACTACAGACGAACAAATGTCTACAGATTTTAAATATATCTCGACTTTTGACAGTCAAATTACTTCCGACAAATTATTTTGACCTCATTTTTATTTTTTAGAGTATTTGTTTACTTTGAGCTATAGGCTTTAAATTTAAAAAGCAGTCGAAGTGTTATTTAAGTCAAATTGCTGTAGTTGCTGTTAAAATGCCCAATTCAGTAACAAGGACACTACCTCTAAAAAAAATGAAACCACGTAGAGGAAGAACAACAGATAAAATCTTGCTGCTGTTTCAATATCCAGTGCAACAGTGTTTGATCCGGGATGTTCATGAAACGGTGCAGCATTCATCATTCGATAAAAGACAGTCAGATCTGTCATAAATGCCACTACGCTAGCGATAATTACCAAAAGTAAAAGTAGCAAAACAAGTGCCTAGAAACTTCAAACAATTATTGCTCAAAAAAGAAAAAAAAACAAGAACAAGGGCGAATAAAGATTTATTAACTGATTAATTCAAAGTAAGTTACAGCATTAATGGGACACAATAAATGTGTCTTTTAAAAGTGAAAGAAATCTTAAAAAGCTGTGCAAAAAACTTTTATAACCTGAACGACTATATGAGGTATCAGAAGTATTGCATGATTCCTAACAATTCCAATAAATAGTAGAAATACGACAACTGAACTAACTGCTATCCCAACAACAGATGCTACAAACGGTACAGTAATATATGTGTCGTCTAGACCTGAAAGACAGTAGGCTTAGTGAAACAGTCCAAAGGCTGAAAGCGTCTTAGAAGCGATACTGGCACAATTCTGCCGACAAATTTAATAACTAGAAAAAGAAAGTAACAAAGTTTGCTATTTCAACTTCTAAGAGATTACCACCAAAACTGCATACTTTGCAAAATAAAAACAGTACAGCTGTTAGGAAACAAATAAAGTACAGCAATTGGTTGAAAATGGATTTTGGCAAAGTTTAGTAATAAAGTCAAAGTTAAACAGATACCTGCTGACTCTTGGTACCGCGTGTCATGTGTTAACATCAGCAACAACGAATTAATCAAGAAGAACAACAACACTAGTATTTCAACTACTGCAAAAAAAAGCAAGTTATCATTTTTTTCTGGCAGAGTATTATCATAATGTTTCAAGGACAGAAAGATGAATGATTTTACCAGATCAAAAAACATATTTCTAAATGGAAGAACTTTGGCAAAAGCATAATATTTTAACCTTTCTTCTTTTAAAGATAAGCGCAATAGTTACCTCCAACTAGTAGTGCTCCGTTTTTGATATGAAAACAGTTACATAAGCATCTGTAACGGTCTTGAGATTCATCAAAATGTATAGGTTTTGGAAAATACTCTGAACTTGCGGCAATTCCATTTACTTCAGGATTACGAATTGGTCGTGAACGGCCCCACCGATTGTTCATCTTTAGTAGTGCAACTTTCAGCGGTTCTTTCGTATTTTCTAGATTGATATTACCGACTAAATGTAATTTTAAGAATGTGTAATCAAATTAATGCAAAAACACCTATTACGCGACGATAAATGCTTCGTACAAATCTGCCAATCCTGGTTAACTGTAGCAATCAAAATTTGACTCTAAAGTAAAGAAATCAAAAATTTATCTAAATTAATCATATTTCAGCAGTAGGCCTTTTCCCTGTTGTAAAATTAATCAGAAGATAGTAAAAGAAAAAGATATATCCTCAACAATCTAATGACTTTGAACAGGGTAAGAACTGATCAGCAAATAAAAATATACTATTAGTTAAGCAAAGCATACAGATGCCTCCCTATCTCGTCAGATCAAACGAATGCTGATCAACCCAAAACATTTTCGAGATCCATTGAATGTACTAATTTTTCCTATTTTTAATTAATGTCGTTAAAACCCTGAACTGTTTGTTGTCAACAAAAAAGCATCATTCTTTAAGATAAAATTTGATCTTCAAAATCTAATTTTGAAGTTTTAAGCAGTGACTAATCCCCAGCCTTTGTTTTTCTTTTGCAAAGTAGCATAAGTAAACAGCCCACTGCAAAAAGTTTCAAAAGCGTAAAAAATTGTTTTCTCAAAATTCATGTACATTTATCATAAAACTCCAAATATTTTCTAAATGTCAACTCGAAATTTTGTTCTTCTTCTGAAACCCCAATGAAAACTGATTGTCGTTATCAGCTAACAAGTATCGCTCACTCTATCAGCGAATCCTTTAGTCAAAAGACTTTTGGACAGCCAACATCTGTATATAACTTTTTTAAAAAGTATTCTTCAAAATATAACAACCTGGAAAAGCAAGTTAGTTTGTGAAAATTTGAAAAAACTAATTATCTGATGAAATTTCAGATAGTTAATTCAGTGATCATGGACATCTTTAATGCAAGATATCTTGTATACAGAGTAAAAACTCTCAGCAACCTAGAACAATTTTATATATACGTCTCCACTTCCTCTAAACAGTCATTTTCAAAGTAACTAGTAAGTAAAAAAGCTCTAAAAGTATGGCCTTAAAAAGATACTTTTTTCTTAAAAATTAAAGTGCAACAGATCACCCTTAAGTTGAAAAAACTTTTTATGCAATTAATTTTCTTTTTAAAGTGAATAAACGTGGCTTTGGAAGGCTTCGGTATTGTGACTAAAGCGATCTTTGGAACTTCCTTCATAACTGACTTAGTCGGCCCACGTAAAAATTAAATTAACTTAACCTTCTGCTAGAAGCTCTTTTAAAGTTTAATGAATACATCTAATCTGTACTGTCCTATGCGACCAACAACTCATCAACATATTCTTCTTTAGCTCATTTACTTGAAATAATAGGTTTGAATCAAAGATAAGTATTCTAACAAAATAAGTCACTAAAAAATTTTTCAATTCATTAAATTTTCTTGACAAGAGTAAAAGATGACTGTAAACAATGAAAAAAACTATTTTGAATGAGTAGACGTCAACATTCTTAACTTTTTTTTTATCAAAGCAGAGTTTGCAGATATCATCATCAATTAAGCTATTTCTTAAACTTTCTACAATTAAGTCAAAATGTTAGCAAAAAACTTACTTTGAGAAAATTCTCAAAACAATTTTTCAGCATCTGCCTAAAACCTTAAAAAAAACCTTTTTTTCATCTCCTCCATCATACTCAGACAGTAAGAATAGATAGCTTATCAAAATACGAATGTTCTTGAAAATGTCTTCGCAATTTGGAAATTGAATAAAAGC